TATATATTTATATATAATATATATAAAATAATATATATATATATGTGTGTGTGTGTGTGTGTGTTTGTGTGTATGTGTGTGTGTGTGCGTGTGTGTGTGTGTGTGTGTGCGTGTGTATGTATGTTCCACGCCCCACAGACTAAAGTAACAGACTAACAGTGTCAATCTCAGACTCTGGCATCTCACCGACAGTTACAGACTCTCAGCTAAGCTCAAAACGGTATGGGGGTACGGGATAGAAGTTGAACGTAAACGCATATTTATTCAATTTTTAAACACGTTACAACGGTTATAATGTGATCAGAAGAGCCTACCCAAGTTCTTGTGTAGGACGGGTTCGTAAGGTGAAAATGGTACACATTTAAATGTTTAGACCCGCCTGTTGCACCTATGAGCATACAAAAAACCGCATTGGAATATTTATTCGATTTATAAAAGTTTTTTTTTACGGAAAACGGTTTGAGGTTAGACTCACAGGGGCAAGGTTGCACGGACGACGCGAACGCAGTCCACACGCAGTATGTTCAAAATTCACAGGTCCTAATGTGGTTAAATTGTCTTTTGATTGGTGATCAGTATGTTTTGATATTTAAATTCCATTAGACTTTTTGATAAAATCTCGGAAAGGTGCGTAGTTTTAATCCAATCGTAGACTATATCTGCCAAACGTTGTAATTTTTAATTGTTTCTAATATCTGATGGAGTAAGAATTGTTTTCTATGACCTTTTGGTTTTTTTTAAAATACATACAAGGGTATTTTAAAAAACATTGAAATGTCAAATAAAAATATAATATAAAAAAATGGGCTGTTGCTTTTTATATCGTCCTAGCCTTCTAAAATAGTCAGTAGTAGTAAAATAATTTTCACAAAAAATCTTGATCCGTTACTTTGTTTGTATGTATACTATGTACCTGCCCTTTAATAGTTGAAAAGTCGGAAATGTGTGAATAAAAATACTTCTACATTTTGATGAATATGATCATTATGATGTGATATAAATAAAACAAACAAAAAAACTAAACAAAACGATGGATGTTCGGATTGATGTTCGATGTTTCGTTACACCAATGGGTGAGGGATAATTTTAAAATTATCAAAAGGAGCAATTTGATTTCTCTCGACGACATCGCATGTATCTCTAAGAAATTTTACGTTCGAATCGGACTTACGTGATTCGGATTTGTTTCTACGTAAACTCACTTTTGAGGTTTAAATACGTATTATAAAGTCTGGGGAATTAGTTCGTTTTCACACCAGCTTTGTGACTGATAGTACGTAAACAAATTTTGTCCACTTTTTAAAAAGGAATAGTCTGAAAATTCATCTTGGGCACGATTAAGAGACATGCTTACCCCCCCAAAATCCGAACATATTCCGAACATAAATCTGAACGCATATTTTTTACCATAGACAGCCCTTGACGGGCCTGAGATGCACCTATTGTTTTAAAAAAAAAATAGTGTAAATACAAAAATTGGAAGTTTGCTTGATCATTTGGCCCTTTGGGTCGGTTAGAGAAGCGAAGAGGGAACTTGGGAAGTGACTTCAGATTGGTATTTTTTAAAAGTAGATACATCAGGAATTTAGATAGAATGGATATCTGCCACGCAGGCCACGTGCGTGTTTCTATTGGTTTCTATACACAAAAACTATCTAAACTGTTCAGTATTCTCTGGGTCCTGGGGTGGACCATAATCTTTCCCCTGTGGATTTCGAAATATATTTTGTTTTTTGTAAAAACATATATAAATATATGTCAAGTTCACTTTTTCTCATCAAGAGTATTCAAGACATCAACAGACATCAAAATTAAACTACACAAGAGGCTACATCCTACAGTATTTTTTAAAAATACAGTACAGTCTACCCTGACTACAGATTTAAAAAAAGAAATACACTTTATGTACTGTCTACTACCAGCCACCAGGTCTACAATCTACATTCTACAGTCTACAGTCTACACTCTACAGTCTACAGTCTACACTCTACAACTAACCTCAATCCGTTTCCCGTTCAAACGTTTTAAAATTGAATAAATATGCGTTTCCGTTCAACATTTATACTGTAAATAGCCCTATGTAAATTTATAGGGTGCATATATCAAGGCATCAAATTTGACCTATATTTCAATCATGCCAGACTGCCAATATGTAATTATATTTCACAAGTGTAGTATGTGTCTGTTTTACGGGTGCTAAATAGACAAAATATATACTACCGTATTTACCTTGTGATAATCCGCTGACAGTTGATCGGACCGGCCGACCGTTGCAGTTGCTACGAAATCACAAACAGTATATCGCTTTTTCATTGGTCCATATAGCTGATGTAGTCCATTTCGTTGGAAAAAGGTGTATATGCCAACTTGCCATGTGCAAAATTGAGAATTTTGTTGCTTGTTTAGACCTCTGAAAACGTTAAAACATTTACAAAACGAATAAATATGCGTTTCCGTTCAATTTCTATGCTGTATAGCCATAACGTTATGAGGCTAGCTCTACAGTAGACTACATAGCGAACGTAATAAGTTATACGGTTTAACGTTAACCGTTGTTTTTTCCAATTAAGGATTTTGCACTTCTGAACTGCACCTATACTCAGCGAAATGTACTATATAACTAAAATTAACCAATGAAAAACCGTCACGTATACTTGCTAATTGCTATTAGACATTTGTAATATATATAAATATATTTGCTAGATGAAAATTTAGGACATAATATATGACCTAGAAAATTACACCTAATCAATATCGGTAGTTGTGTATAGTGTGTAAACATTGAACGTTGACAGTTTTTTTTTGTATTATAAACAGTTTCTAACGTAAAACTTTTTGACGTTAGCTAGATAGGTCTACACTACAGTCTACAGTTATCTGTTTTATACACGCTAAATAATTACAGTCTACAGTTCACTAAATACTATTTACGATAATGACAATTCGAAAATAAATATGTACAAATATCTATTACTTTGTATTTTTTTATTAAAAATAAAGGTCTTTACTCATTAGAGAGAGTGACCTTGAAGCCGGGCCATCAAAATTGAAAATTCAAGAATTGATTATACTCGCAGGCAGTTCACAGGTATTTAGGCCTAGGGCGAACTGCGGCTTTGTTCTGTTGTAGAAGCCTTGAACAGGCTGACAGGTCACTGGCTGAGTGGCTGAGCGCCTGAGCCTTGTCTGCCCCCTGGAAGGACAACATTTTGAGCACAAAATTATTATATTTATATTTATTGGCATCGATTATCGGTATAACCTTCATGATCCATCTAAAACAGTAGAGGGTATTTATGTACTATTTATTTAGTTGTAGAGTACATAGTGAAGTTTGATTTGACCAGAAAAAAAGTTATTAGAATTTTGTAAATAAAATTATATACCCATCACGCGGATTATTTTCTTCAGTTTCCTTTTTTTACAAATCACAAATTTTGGTTTATCATTGTAATATTTATTTAAATAAAAAAGGTAAAACAAACCGCAAGAAAATCAGAAGTTCAAATTTTGTAGTGTTGAAAAAAACAAAAAAAACACAACAACAACTACTTCATTGTACTCGCTACTCAGCTGCCCTCAGGTCTCAGTACTGTCATGTTTTAGCACTGTTTGCCGTTTGGACTTGTTGGCATGTGCTGATAGCCTGTCGCATAATGTGCATGGTCGTTTTTTCAAAATGAAAAGTTATATAATCACGACCAATATATGCGTATTTTTATTTTGAATAAACGTATATGCAAAAATCGAATAAATATACATTTACGTTAAGCCTTTTTACAATATAAAGTCCTTTATATTCTCACAGATGCACCTTGCAGTTCCAAACATTTAAGTGTATACATATTTCACCATACGAGCTAGTCCTATAAATTTAACTTAGGTAGGCCGTTCTGAATACATTATAACCGTTTTAACATTTAAAAAATTGTATAAATATGCGTTTACGTTAAGCTTCTATTCCGTACCCCATAACGTAATAAGCTTAGCTCAGGACCCTGGGGCCTGGAGTCTCACTCTACTCTGAGAGTCTCAACAGTCTGAACTCCAAACTCTGATGTGTTTGGTGATGGAGAGTGTGTGTGAGCTGGGGAGAGGTATTGTGTTTTACAATTTTATTTTTTTTGATTTATCACATTGGGAGCACCAATGGATATCGATTACGGCCACACGCTATATGTTATAATAAAAACAATATCAGAAACGAAAACTAGCCCTCTATATTCGCTATTTACACAATATTAAATTATATTTGAAAATTATCGTTGTACTCACGTGTGAGTGACACGGAGTTGAGTCCTCATTTTTGTCAGTTGTGTGGTTGTGTGTACAACAAGGGTTTAGGGTTTATTTATTTAAAAAAAAATGTACTGTACAGTGCAAAAATAAATAATGTGCTTTTTTGTGTGTTTTTGTGTGGTGTGTGGACTGTGGAGCATAGCCTAAAATAAATACATTTGGGAGGCTAAACGTGGAGTGGGGAGTGTGGACGCCGTCAGCAGGAAAAGATTTCTCAAATTTTCAAGATTTCACGTAAGTATAAGATAGCATCGATGATATAACGAAATATCATATTCATCACAGCTATATCTCAACTGCTCAACTAGCATTTAGATTAGAACACAAACTCTGTCAAAATGAACGAAGTCGACCTAAATGAGAAGAAGGAAGGAGAGGTGAGCATTGGCATCGCCACCGGCGATACCGTTAATGTCGGTAGTGCAGAACAGCTGGAGAATTATGATTCGTCGAAAAATGTAGTTGTATCTGAGGATGTGTGGAATCATGTTTTCGTTGATTCGGGCATGAAATTGGGAGACATGAATGGCAAACAAAAACTTTGGACGGCATTTTACATGTCCATGAAACTGCTTGTCGTGCTATTCGCACTGTATGTCTTCATCATCTCTCTGGATCTACTTGGATCAGCTTTCCAAGTCCTGGGCGGTACACAAGCTGGAAAGGTTTTCCGTCAATCAGACGTATTCAATAATCCTATCGCCGGCCTTGTAGTCGGTATCTTGACCACCGTGCTCGTGCAGAGTTCCAGTACTTCGACCAGTATCATCATTTCTATGACAGCATCTGGTTTGTTGCAGATTGACCAGGCTGTTTACATGATCATGGGATGCAACATCGGCACATCTGTTACAAATACAATCGTCTCTATGGGTCAGATTGGTGATGTGAATCAATTTAGACGCGCTTTTGCTGGCGCCACTGTCCATGATATGTTTAATTTCTTATCAGTATTGATCATGCTGCCCCTGGAGGCGGCCACACAAGTGCTTGAGAAAATCTCAAACGTCACTGTTGAATCTATGGGAAGTATCGAAGGAGCTGATGATCTGAATTTCCTTAAAACGGTCACCAAACCAGTCACCAACCGAATTATCCGTGTGAACAAGGATCTGATCGAGAGTATCGCTGCAGCACAAACTGAAGAGGAAGTAGACGCACTATCAACCCAATCTATGGTGTCCTGGAAGTACTGCCCGGACGATTCAACATGGTTTGTGTATTGCCCTCAAGAGAATAGCTGGTCAGATGTGGCGGTTGGCTCCACACTGCTGCTTTGGGCCCTAGTCCAAATGATGGTTTGTCTTTATGTACTCGTAAAGGTACTTCAATCCATTTTCAACGGTCCTCTGTCTAAAGTGCTGTTCAAGGCTATCAATCTCTCATTCCCCGGTAGATGGGACGTATTGTCTGGCTACGTACTTATTCTCGTGGGTGCCGTTCTCACGGTGCTTGTCCAGTCTTCGTCTATTACCACTTCAACACTCACACCCCTGGTGGGTCTAGGTGCTTTGAAGCTGGAGAAAATGTTCCCCGTCACACTTGGAGCTAATATTGGTACAACAATCACTGGGATGTTGTCAGCTCTGTCGTCTCCAGATGTCACAGTAGGACTCATTCTGGCTTTTACACACGTCTACTTCAACGTTTTCGGCATCATCATTTGGTACCCTATTCCTTTTATGCGAAGTATCCCCTTGGCGATGGCTCGCGGTATGGGAAATATCACTGCCAACCACAGATGGTTTGCCATTTTCTATATTATTGTTGCCTTCTTCCTCATTCCATTGGCTTTGCTAGGGCTATCATTAGCCGGTTGGCAGGTAATGGTTGGCGTTTTAGTGCCCGTTTGTCTGGTAATCGTGTTCTTCGTGGTTGTTTTCCAACTGCGCGAGCACAAACCCGAATGGCTGCCAAGTTGGCTATTGTCGTTCGATTGGATGCCAGAGTGGATGCATACAGAGCCTGCCTGGTTGCAGAGGTACCATTCTAAGATGGAGGCCAGAACGGCTGCTAAGGACGCGAAGAGAGCAGTCAAGGAAGCTACTGAGGCAAAGAAGAAGTCTCTCAATGAGAAAATCTTGGATAGATTAGGCGACGGCAAGAATGATCAGCTATATCTTGGATCAGATGATGAAGAAGTGGACACACGAACAGACATGAAACCAACTGAGAAAATCAGTAATGCGGATCATGTAGTTGTCGTCTAAATTATGGAGGATATGCAAACAAGGCATCGCTCTTCAATAGTTATATATATATATATACCAATTAGCAAATGTACCGTAGTTCATATGTCCAAACAAAAAATTAGAATAATTTCATTTACTACTAGTAATGTGTTGTCACTTTCATGGTCTGGCATTTATAATATTTATAGTTATAGGTTTGATTCCGGAAACTAAATAATGTAGTAGCTACAGACACACATACAGGCATAAATATGGACATTCATACAATAATACTACCATAGATTGGTACGATTCTACTACGGTAGGATTACATCGACTCCATATAATCTTACCGTATTTTGCAGACCAGATTTTACCAAGGCACACAGTTAAAATATACTTTAAAACGCACAATCTTCATTTCAGGTTTTGGGTGCATAGCATTAGGACTAAGATCATAGCTATATAACATGGTTTAAACATTTGTCCTAACAATACATACACGTGTGTATATATCAAGCATACATCTAGTTTTACTCGCATAAGCGCTATGTAAACAAGCACCAAGTACAAATGCATTGCAACAACCTCGCCGTTTATAACTATCGCCCGAGAATTGGCTATATCTAGTAAGAAACAATCCAGCAACATTTATAGACTCCATCCTTTGATACTTCCCCTTGTAGACACTCAAAATAGTTTCATGGATGCAATGGGCGCGTCTGGACATATTACTTACTATTTGGACATGCCAAGACCGAATAGTGGGAGAGCTGGAAAACTCTAAAACCTACATGGCTTGGTGATATAACTATTCACACGCAGTGTACAGAAAATCCTAAAACCTACATGGCTTGGTGATATAACTATTCACACGCAGCGTACGGAAAATCCTAAAACCTACACGGCTTGGTCGTATAACTATTCACACGCAGTGTACAGGGATTAAAACCACGCAATACGCTCGTCGCAGTTCACCGTAGAATATAATGAATCTCATCACACTTTAAAGCATGTTATTGACCAAAGTCGGACTCATACTCGAACTGCCTCACCTTCGAGTCTTTGCGTGCGTTGCTATAATCTTAACTGTCTCGACTGTTCCACAACAAGGACAAGTAGTTTCATTTCAAGGGCTCTGGAGAACTACCACTGCAAACGAATTTTGAACGCAATAGTGGCAACAGTGGTCAACAAATGGCTACCAAGACTCGTTTGTATCGCAGCTTCATTAGCACTACATTTAGTACTAAGCAGGAGATATGAATTGGTCGATCCTTCAACTTAGTAGGCAGCATAAAAATACATTTGCGACGATGTCAATATCAAATTGTGATTGTGCTTCAGGCGATGGTATGGAACCAGACCGAGTTGTACTTTGGTACCAAGCCATATGCTTCTTCTCTAGAAACAGTCAGCTGTATTTATTGGCGAGGAAACTTACGTGTCAAATAGATTTTTAGTAAACAACGTACCGAAAGAGACAGGTATTGGACTGCCAACACTGCCGCTATATATTCTAAGGTATATCGTAGCACGCGCTGGGTTGCGTGCTTACCATAGCGTAGAAAACATGTCATCTGCACATTTCGCTGGAGGGTACGACAGAATTCAACACAAGAGTCACAAATACATGATACATAGGTGGTGCAGCATGCACCATTTTTGTTTGCATATAAAAATACGTATGTATGTACCTCACTCTCTACTCTAGTTGAGAGAGAGTGCGTCTCTACCTAGAGAAGCAGAGATAAAATATGTAAATAAAAATCAAATATTGCTGAACGGACGTCCGAAGGACATGAAGGACATATTTATTTGTTTATTTATATTGACTAAATACATCCCCAGCACGATAAACGCGGAGTAAAAGTATATTTTAGCGCGCACAAGCCTTTTTGAAGATTGCACAGGGCACACATTTGACCTTTATTATAATTTGTACATATGATACAGAACAGATGTGCACTAACCAGAACCAATCTGCCCTACATAGTGTCATATAAATGCAATAGACAATAGCGGAGATACTTCTTGATGATGTTGAGATCCAAAGTACTGCCTGTGGCTCGGTATTTGTCGAACAATGTGAAGCTGTTATCCATGAAGCAGGGTAAGTTATGGAGTTCGCCAACGCACTTTACACCATCGAGATGCCTACATCACGAAACACCTTGTCTGCAAAGTGCTACTACGTTCCAAAGGCATGCCACATCTACCACAAATAATGACACACCTTCTGTAGTATCGAGGAATACAGATACTGTAAATACAGATATTGTCAATGAAAGGCTTGAAAGTGACCGCTCAACACGTGGACGTTCACTCCAGGAAGACGGTAATGAAACATTTCGCGATAGTACTTCATCAACTAGTTCTTCAACAACTCAAATTTTGCAAGTAGACAGTACAAAAGTTGCTTCAAAGCGCTCGCAGGGCAAGCGTAAGACTCGCGATGAAAGTACAGATACAACTGTCACTAGTACAGGTGCACAGCCTTCTAAAACGGTTCGGAAACCACGTGCTCATAACAATGTCCAATCACTGCGCTTAGAAAACGCTGCACTGCGATTGGAATTAGCGACTTTGCGAGCTAAAGGTGGTGCTGTACAAGAATCCACTACTGCATTAAACAACTTGACTGCAACGGAGGCAGGGGTTAGTAGTGGTGCAAATAGTATGAGTGTGCGTACGCCTCGTCGTGCACCAGGAGAACGCGATACTTTTCTGCATCAGGATAATAAGGAGGCATCGGCTTCAATTAAAAAATCTAGCGCACATGCGGCAAGCAACGGACATGAACAGAATAGGACACAAGAAAACAATACACAGCCTGTACAGCCATCCACATACACCAGCGGAGAGAACATGGTTCAGGTATCGTCGGCAAAGCACTCCGATACAAGCACAGGCATGAACGCCAAAAGCAGAAAACACAAACAGGCCAAGATGGCGAGTCGGGCGAGGAAAGCAGAGATGATGCAGAAAAACAACGAGAGGGATGGGAAATACCTACCAGCCCGAAGAAGTGAACTGTCCCAGCTACGCCATCTATTCTACAAGGCAAGGGAGAGCAAGAGCTACAGGAGTGCCGTGGAAGCGGCTGAGAACGAGTTAAAAAGTGGAAAAATAAGCAGCGAGGACGGATTAACGGCTATTAATATCTTCAAACATGCTAAGAAGCCGGACTCATGTCTAGAAGTGCTGGATGCGCTCCGGAAGAATGGCAGGGAGATGACGGCTGTACACTACACATCGACCATGGCAAGGTATAGTATTTAGTTGGATTTACTGATATATGAAGATGTATATCGATTGCTTCACGTGTATATGCGTATGTATTACTGTAGATTCACGCACGTAGATAATGATTGGCGCATATGCAAATACTAACACATAGTTGCATATATATATGTAGGTATTTGCACCCGTGCAGGCGAAATTGCATGTATTATAAAGCATGTATAAGCATATTTTTAACGAACATAAACACACGTATTCCATAAAACACACATCCTGGGTGTACGTATAGCACTTTCTTTGAACGGGCTTTCATATTTGTGCACACAAATCTTGTTCCACATACCATACACTTGAACGCATTCTAATTTCAGAAGTATACATATGATCGTAGATACCTACAAAAGTATAGAGCATGTATATGCATGGTTTTATACGTCTATGTATGCTTGCATTCACATTTATAAAAATTCGTGTGCATGATACGTGCTAGTAAACATGAGCATACGGTTCGTTGTGACACCGATTATGTACATAGTAGCATCAACGTGGCACCTTTTTTTACCCCGCTTGTGCATCATATATCACCCGGATCGCAAAAAATAACTCAAGGTTTGTAGGTTAGCACATGCCATTTGGCGAGTTCATCGCTAAAGTGTGCTGTCTCTTCTTCACGAGTTGCAGCTTCAACAAGCCCGAGCACACAGCCAAGGCCCTTGAACTTTTAACAGAGATGGAGGAACGTAACATCGCCGCGGATGTGATTACTTATAACTCTGCGATATCTGCCTGTGAGAAGGCCAAGCAGGGGGACCAGGCATCTCAGGTACGTTCATACTGCCTCCGGGGCACCATCGGTGTGTGTCTCGGATACGCTTGCGACGTTTCTTAACTACATTTATTATTCAGCTCGAGTATTTTTTTCTAGGATGGGCGTGCAGAAGGGCCAGTTGAGATGTGCAATGTGGGGAGTGATTAGTTGGATGCGGACTGTTATAGTTGAGCACTGACAGACTTTTCGGACAGTCAAGTATGAGTGATCCGATTGAATGGACTTACCCCGCCAGCATACCTGCTGGAAGATGTTCAATAAGTGCTCATTATGAACTGATTTGTATCGTTGGACTTTGAATCTTATATAGATGTGCTTATACAGCGCTGTCATTGCTAGGTTTTATAACTGACCTGAACGCTTTGAACGTTAGAGATGTTACGAGTAACAAGAGCGATTGACGCCGGGTTCAAAAGCAGTTTACAGTATTATAGGAAGTATACATTCACACAAAACGTTCAATACTATTTCTTAAGTTTTAAGTTTGTCGCATACACTTCTTCTTGTGGTAAAATACACACGTCCCTCCGCAATACACCGTGGACCAACCCACAAACCTGCCCCCATCTATCTCATTGCCCCTTGGTATATGGTATCGCCATCATCAGATACTGAGGCGCATGGTCCAGGCAAACCTCACACCAAATGTGAAGACATACAACGGAGCCATATCAGCTAATGGGAAGGCAAGAAAGACGGAGGAAGCGCTGGCACTATTCGCAGAGATGCAGGAGGCTCAGATAGCACCCAATACAATCACGTACAACGTGGCTATAGCCGCGTGCGGGGTGTCAAGAAAATCAGCGAAAGCTGTAGAACTTCTGCTTGAGATGGAGACGAAAGGCCTCGAGCCCAATGTGATCACCTATAACGCGGCCATATTCGCTTGTAATGCAGTGAAGTGGCATGCAAAAGGTATAGAGCTGCTGAAAGAGATGCAAGGAAAGGGCATCAAGGCTGATACCGTTGTGTATAATACGGCGCTCTGGCTGTGTGTGCATGGCAGCATGCCTGAGGTTGCTTGTGATTTATTAAGGGAGATGGTTAGGGACGGTGTGCGTAAGGATGATTCCACGGCGTTTGCGGCTAAAGAGGCGTGTACTGGTAAAAACAGTACCGTCGATCAACTTGAACTAGCGCGCTTGCTGAGTTAACGGTCTTTCGCACAGTCACTTCCGAAGTTGTATAGCGGGATCGCGTGTCACGGACTGTGTGATGCTGAGCCAGCTATGCAGATGAATTAGGACGGCTATTCTGAAAGTGTACATCCACCGAACGGCTGTTGATAGGCTGAGATACGTACAACCCTCCCGAAACAGTGTCTGGAGTGCACAAGACAGGCGTGGTGTTTCTATATAGCTGGGTGGCTGCGTGCAGATCCTGCGTTGGTTAATGAGCAGACTATTGTAATCATGAACTACCAGGTACTAGTACCTTGTTGCGGAAGGCTGTGGATGAGTATTGGGGTGCACGGACGAGGGTGCTAGCTGGTGTAGTACATTGCACGCATAGGTGCTCAACACCTGTTTTGGAGTCTGAAGATAACCATTCTCTTCATCGGATTGTTTCAAAGCAGGATTTCGGGTCAAGCTGTGACCTGTGAGCCGAACGGAGCACTTGATTGCGGCATCTCTACGCTGTCAAAAGTCGATAAAGCGTGCTAGATTGCACACGAAAAGGAAAAGGACGCTATCACGATACAATTCGACAACTTGTAGACCATTTTTCTGCATTGTTGCTGGTAATCATTAGATTGTATTTCGTTTTTGGACACCAGATCGGATCTTATCCGATACAGCCCGGATTTGCGACTAGATTCTAACTGTGTTCAAATATTAATATATATATTTGCAACGTATATCGGGTCGAAAATAAATAAATATGAATGAATTGTATCGCTGGAGTCCCGTTTCGTTATCGTTAACAGGTCTTCAGATGAACTAGTTTGTTCGTATTTGTACACCTTTCAAAACTTCGGTTGATTGCGAGGGCGTCGTGCATATAGCACTTGTTGTCATTGGCGAGCGTGGATGCACACTGTGCTATTGGTAGACGGTACACTGTGTTATTGGTAGACTGTTACACTTACACTGTGTTATTGGTAGACTGTTACACTGTGCTATTGGTAGTCTGTTACACTGTGCTATAGGTAGACTGTTACAATGTACTATAGGTAGACGGTTACACTGTGCTATAGGTAGACTGTTACAATGTACTATAGGTAGACGGTTACACTGTGCTATTGGTAGACTGTTACAATGTGCTATTGGTAGACTGTTACACTGTGCTATTGGTAGTCTGTTACACTGTGTTATTGGTAGACTGTTACACTGTGCTATTGGTAGACTGTTCTCACCGCCTCTTTCCTTATTTATTTATTTATTCATGTATTCCTCACATATGGTCGGCTACAGCGCCACCCACACCCGCAGGATCCCCGCCCACATTTGGGATCATTTTGGGAATGGTCGCTGCATGCATCTCCTCGCCTCCCCCGTGTTCGTGTCCGTGTGTGAGCATGTGCGTTTGGAAGTCTGCCATGCATGCCGAAGCGTCCATGGGTATGCTGGCAAAGCTGTGAGTGAGAGTGAGGAGAATAGGACGTGTGTATCAGATTGCAGATGAGTGAGAAGAACAGGATGTGTGTATCAGATTGCAGATGAGTGAGAAGAACAGGATGTGTGTATCAGATTGCAGATGAGTGAGAAGAACAGGATGTGTGTATCTGATTGCAGATGAGTGAGAAGAACAGGATGTGTGTATCAGATTTCAGATACCAGCGACTGCATAAGTGAAGTGGGTACGGAATGAAACAGGCGAGCTTGTATAAGTGGAGAGCATTGTGGCTGAGTGTATGTAGGTGTATGTATCACTCTATGTGCGCTGGGATTAGCTGAAAACTCTTCGGGATGAGTCAAGGAATGCTAGCGAAGCTTCGAAGCTTGCGGGGGAGAGGAATTAACGTATTCAAATGCACGGGACAGAAGGGATGAGAGAAGCCTTAAACAAACCGGGTAAGCTGTGTTTAATAGCGGGACGTACTCACCACTCTATTGCAATAAATCAAATACAAACAAAAGATAGTAATATATACTACTCTTGTGTGTCGGAGATCTGGTTTCGACTAGACTGGCCATAAGCGGGGTGGCAATGGAGTGCTTAGTAAGAGTGTAGGGGCATACGTGCATGAGTGTGGGTTTATGTGAACAAGATGACCCTATGTTCCGCACAATGACCCGATATGCGTAGGGTGTATTTAAGGAGGTTGTAGCCATGGTATGTATAGGGTGTATTTAAGGTAGTTGTAGCCATGGTATGACTGCAGCATGTTAGACAGAATTGGTACTCATACGCACAGCTGCAAGCTCAAAGCCTGCGGCGCTTGCCTTATTTTTTTTTGGATATCATCGATAGTGTAATCATAAACCGGAATACTCAGTACAGACAAATGCGTGACGAACAAACGCAGCCGCAAACCCCTGGTACAGACGCACTCAAGGACGCAGAAGGCCTATGAAGTCTCATTTCACATCCCGAGAGATTGAATCAACGCGCACATACACCTGTAGGCAGTATGCACACAAGCTTCACACAACACACACTGCCTGAGAACAGTCGGTGTGTATCATTCTGTATCCGTCGAGGACACGTGTCAATACATCATCTGAACACGTGTGACCATGCACACACATCAACATCTGCGGACAGTGGGACACACTGGTATACGCAACATGCAAACTCACAATAGCTATGGACACACATCTACACCGGAAAGTGCATAGAGCACGGGCGTAAGAGCCGTATAAGCACATGTATAGCCATATAAGCACATGTATAGTCGCATAAGCACATGTATAGCCATATGAGCACATGTATAGTCGCATAAGCACATGTATAGTCGTATAAGCACATGTATAGCTGTATAAGCACATATAAAGCCGTATAAGCACATGTATAGTCGTATAAGCACATGTATAGCCGTATAAGCACATGTATAGCCGTATCAGCACATGTATAGCCGTATAAGCACATGTATAGTTGTGAGCGTAGATCACGGGTAAATTAGAAACACGTAGACACACATACCTGTAGGCATACAGGGTGCCTAGTACCAGCAGATGAAGCAGGATAGCATAGAAGAACACAAAGGATCTACAGTTTTAGCCAGACGAGAAGCAAAGATGATTGAGTTAGTGAACAGTAGACGCTGGAAGTGCATACACGAATGGGCTGATATTGCGTACCTTGGTGTGGGTTGTAGGATAATAGGGTGATTTTAAGACATACACGCCCGCTTAAGTTGTACGCTGATATTCCAGTAGAGAATGAATACATTCTAAATTAAATTCTTATAGTCTATATACCAAAAGAATGGTAAACTAAAACTCGTTTCGCACACAAAGAGCACACACCCATTTATATATATATATATATATAAATAAATATATATATA